ATTATTTTTTTTACAGGCGAGGTCATTTTTAACCGAGCGGCGGCGAGCTTTTCTGATGAAGCTGGAACCAAAAGGCTGAGCTATGAGGAGGCGGTGGAAGAAGCAGGTAATCTGAAGTTTTCCTTTATCACTGTTTTATGCTATAATGAAGCTTCATGTTTCAGCCTTTGGGAAAAACAAAAGACAAAAATCTATACATTTTTATAAATCATGCTGAGATAAAATTAAAATCTATTAAAGGTATTGTGGATGATTTATTTGATTTTTTTTTTTTTTTAAAGACCTGCCCTTTCCACTTTAATTAAAATGCACATGCACAACCCTGTACCTGCTTCCGAGAGGGAACGCATATTAAATGCATGTGAGAGCATGCATTTCTCCTCGTGCACGCTCTGTTTAAAAGTTGCTGTTCTCATAGTTCATACAAGCTTCCTGTGTCCGAATGACCGCACTAACCCCTAAATCCCTCAATCACTATACAGAGCGGAGACTATACAGTGGACTTCATAGTGGACTCAGTTAACTGACCGTTCGGACAGATGATCGCTGCTTTTTGCTTCCCGTTGGTCAAGTAACTCCTCCTCCACTGCATGGTGCCCGCGCCATCTTTGGTATTAGTTGCTGCTGTCGGGTAGTGACAACAGTAGTGACCGCTATGACAGCAAATCCCGTGCTGTCATTGCACATGCTGTCATAGCTCTCTGTGCAAAACATTATAGGATATATCTGCCTCTTCGGAGGCTTTTCTTTTCTTCTCATACACTTCGTAAACACATAGGACCGCCTTACATGAACAAATCACCAGAATGATTGACAGTTAGGAGGACCTCTTATTTAGATGATCCACCCGGAAATAAAAGATCCTCCTCTATACCTTTAAGTCGTATGAATGCAGTTCACACTGGAGATCACATTCAAGTCGCATATATTTGGAAATGTGAACGACCATGCAAAACAATCGGATAAAAAAAAAAAAAATCATAATATAGCATCAAGGCCTGCAGGGGGAACGTAGCCTTAGAGACCCAGTTCACTTTCTGCTCTGGAAACATTGGCGTAGTTTTACGTTGCTTTCTTTCCCCCCACCTCTGCCTTGCTTCGTCCTGACTTTGTTTCCATCAGACATCGGTTGTAAGGCAGAGATGGAAGTGACTGAGAGCAAAAGCTCAATGGCTCTTTAGTATGTATAGTATGAATAGATCTATCCCATAATGCTCTGCACGGAGACCTCTCCGCGCAGAGCATTATGCGATATATCTGCCTCTTCTGAGGCCTTTCTTTTCTTCTCATACACTTCATAGACTCTTTTTCTTTTAAGACCGATGAGAAGTGAGCTTGAATGACTGGCTGAAACCGTAGCTCACCACATGGCTGAAAGTGCGCATGTGCAAAAAGCTATTTTATTACCTTTTGGAGTTTTTTAAGCATATGGCGGTCTTGAACTTAAAACGTTTTTCTTTTTGTCAATGGCTCAAGGGATACACATCCGTCAAGGTAGTTTAAGGTGTATTTTTCGTACAAAACTAAAGGGATAAACAGGACTAGCATGCATGTATGCAAATCTGACACCTGCATATATATATATGCTGGTCTGACAGAACAAGTGCCTTACATAAACATTTCACCAGAATGATTGACAATGAAGAGGACCACTTATTTAGATGATCCACCCGGAAATAAAAGAGCGTCCTCTATACCTTTAATATGACATAGCGACATCTGCATCTTATTTTTAAACATGCGTGGTGTTTAGAAGTAAAACTTTGATTTGATCCGTGGACAGATGTGGAAGAAGGAAAAGAAAAGCCCTTTAAGTCCTCTGGATGAGCCTTTACTGGCTAACGTGTCTCCTGTTTGTCCTTGCTTTGCTCTCAGGTTTTGGTTTGTTCCACTGGCTGCTGCTGGTGGTGTGCGGCTGGGCCAACGCCAGCGATGCCGTGGAGATCCTCTGCGTGTCCTTCCTGCTGCCCACGGCGCGCTGCGATCTGCTGCTGAGCTCCTCGGACATGGGCCTGCTCACTGCCAGCATTTTCCTCGGTGAAACACTGAAAAAACCATCGTTCGTTACTTAGTGGTCTAAACAGCAGCTTCAGCCTGATTAGCTAGAACAAACTGAAGCTCTGTCTGCTTTTCCACTGTTAGTCTATTGATTTATCATTTCAGTTGTGCAACAGATGTTGCAAAACACACAATGTTTTTTTGAACCTCTGCTCTTGTTTGAACATTGTTCTTCATTAACTTTAGCTGCTACTCGCAGTAGGACTATTTGCACATTTTAGTACCAATTTCCCTTTTCTTGAGTAGCTAAACCAAATTATATTGGTTTCCTTTGTAGACCAGGCTTATTTTTATTGAAAAAAAAAATGGAAAAAAGTTTTTAATTTAAAATAACCTTCTCTAAGTCTTCTTACAAGAAAACGTAAAACAACAAATGAGTCTTTAATGAAGGCAACTGGTTTAAGTTAACAGAATAAAATCAGAATTCAGTGAATTTCCAAGCGATAAAGATGATATGAGACGAGAGAAAGAAACAAACATCTGTTCACATCTCTGTACGAGGGTTTGACACTTGACTATAGATGGATCGTTTAATGAATACAATAAATACATTTCTATTTCTACATCTAGGACTGGAGGAATATGATGAAAAGGTAGAACTCTTTTGCAGTTAAATGTCTATCAAAACGGTTTAACTTTATTTAGATTCTTTGAAAATAGTCCCGATTTGCAGAGGAATGTTTTAAAGCTTCAATTTTAATTTAAGGAATTTAAAAAAAGGCAGAAGCTGAGTTTCCTTCATTATCATGCAAATGATACAGACAGTATAAAGACTTTCTGCATAAAAAGCTGCGTTCTCAATCTTTTAAAATATTTAATCGTCATCAGGTCATTCAGGCTAACATATATCCATTCTTGACAAACAGGTGGGCCGAACAAATTCCAGCTCCTACGTTCACATCGGACCTGCAGTATTTACCCATTTTACTAGGATATTCCAACCAGGCTTCCTAGAAGATGTAAAGATTATTAACCCCTGTTTATGTTTACACAGTCTATATGATTTATTTCTATCTCTTTTGTTTTACATTCATGGCTTCAGAAGTTTACCTTAAAGCTCAAGTCTGTAAGTTTTTAAAAATCACTTTTTTGTCATATTGGCTAAAACTGTCCCTATGCCCAGACAGCAGTACATGTGATATGTAACCTGTGAAAAAAACTGCTTCAATTGGTCCCGCCTACTGCCTGTATTGCAATCTGGAAAGAATATTTCGGGACGAGACAAAACAACCAATCACAGCCAGAGGAGCGTCTGATGGAGTGTCAATCACATCTCACACACGCTGAATCCCGCCCCCTCCCTCTCATCGCTGAACCTGCCGCTGCCGCCCGGCTGCTGCAGTCAGGAGGACGCGCGTAGAAGTCATGGCGAAGCGACAGCCACCAGCCAAAGAGAACCTGCCCTTACTGCCCCTGCCGACAACTGCTTACACGGCAAAGACTTCAAAAAAGAAGATGTCAATTGAAGAGCTGCCGCGTACGCTGCTTGGACGCTTCTGGTAGCATGCGGAAGCCGCGCAGATGCTGTGAGAGGGGTGGAGCTTGGAGGTGGGGCATGAGTGAAGCAGAGAGGTTTGGGGAGTGGCGTGAAACCTGTTTTTCTTCAAATTTTCAGTCGAAGTCTGCTCTCTTCTCAATGTTACAGACTGCAGCTTTAAGTTACATAATAAATAATAAACAAACAGCATGTACTGCTTTCCCTCAGGAAGGTGACCTTAATTTAAAAAGGGAACAAAATTTATCTGTAAAAAAAAAAGCCTTAAAACATTCATTTTTCAAAACAAACAATGAAAATCTAAACAGACTATATGTTAGCAGCCAGTAGCTAGCCATATACATGGCGTATCAGTCTGGCTGTGCCATGCTAGCTGGTAGGATCACAATGTCAGCTAGTTTATCAGATATAAGTACACATCTAAAAGAAAACCGTGATGAACAGATATGGAAGCAGATTGGTGGAAAAAAAATCTCAATTATCCAGAAGTGAGAACGCCATATACTGGTGGATATGGTGTTTTCATTGATTCAAATTTGAATCAATTTGACTGCATGATCTGGTTGAACTGTAAAGTGCCTTGAGATGACGTGTTGTGAATTGGCGCTATAGAAATAAACTGAATTGAATTGAAATTGAATTGAATTAAATATACATAATTGGATTAATTAAAGAAAAAGTCCAGTCAGCATGGAATAATCAATGGATCATTATTTATACCTAAAACGAATATGTTTGCAGTGATTTATTGAATTTTGCGTTAATCTTAAAAAAAAAAATTTAAAATATATTTTCGTTGTGATCATTGAGTCCAGTAACCCCTCCCTCCTGACATCTTCCAGCAGTGACGTCACGGTGCGGTAAGCCTAGTGCCATTCTCCCCGCTTTACAAGCAAAATCAATGGGAACTACTAGACACATCTGCAATCAACAACTATTATTGAAGATTTCCAGAGGACTTCACCATTGAAATTCACCAGAGCTATAGTGAAACTGACAATGCCCACGTGCATGGCAGCTGGATGTTGGAATACATCGAGTAAAAGTGGAAAAAAGAGTTATTCCACCTTTCTGATTCCTGATCCTCCATGAACGGGTTGGTCGTTGGATTGCCAACTTGAAGAGGGAGGATTTGCCATTGAACTTCTGGCCAGAGAAAAAACACGTAATATGTAGCCAACATTTGGAAGAAGAATGTTTTCAAGATGACTTGGATAATAGCGCGTTGTGACAAACACCAGATACAGCACTGGGACTTGATCAACAGCCGATACCGCACCGTGACGTCACAAACCAGTAGGTGGCAGTAGTGTTCTTTGACAAACATGGATGCCTCCAGTAAAGCACATTCACATGAAAATTACTCTTAATTAAAACACTTACATTTTATTGAACGGTATGTAATCATTTCATATTTAAAGTAAATAATTCTCAATGTGACCTGACTTTTCCTTTAATAAAAACGATTAATGTCCTTAAGTTAAACTCTACTTATTAATAATTTCAGGAACAAACCCCACATCTGATCAAATTTGTTCAGAACAGACCAAGGGTGATCCCTGTTCCTTTGAAACGGCCTTAAAGTGAACAAATTGTGAAACTAGATAAGTTGCAGCAGTGAAAATAAAGCTGTTATAGATTTTTTAACTGCACCGTGGTCATTTTTTACAGGAATGATGTTTGGTGGCTACATGTGGGGATATCTGGCTGACCTGAGGGGGCGGCGGAAGGTCCTGGTGGTCTCTCTGGCCATTAACGGGCTGTTTGGGGGTCTGGCCAGCCTGGCTCCGTGGTTCTGGCTCTTCCTGCTACTTCGGTTCATCAGCGGCGTCGGGTGAGCTCACCACTGTTCGCCTTTTTATTCCTACAGGAGGTTTACAGCTGATTACCGATCTTTGCTTCACCTGCCATCAGAGATTTCAACTGATCCATATTTTTTATAGATAATAAAAAAAATTTAATTGGTAAACTTTTACTTTAACAGATTTTATTAGTGAATAGCTTGATTAGCCTTTAGCACATTTAAACAGCAGTTTAAATCTGCTTTCCTTTTACTCAAACTCATTTTTTTAAAGGTTGTCATCTCTTACAAGTGGTGACTGTACAAATGTTCAATATTCTGCGTCATGGCAGCCACAAAAACAAACACCAAAGCCTTAAATCAGAGGCAAACATGTTTGGACCGCCATCCAGGAGTCTTGGTCAGTTCTAAATCTTCATGACACTGACTAAGAGCTCACACCTCAATTCTTTAAACCAAGATGGCTTCTTTCACTGCTTCTTCAGTCATCCAGGGCCACTGTAAGTCATTTTAAACAGGAGGTGCTGTGATCATTTGTTTTGTTTTCTCTTTGACAAAAGACCTACGAGCTAGACACCCCCGATTTCTGGGGACAGTTAAATGGGCTGATAAATGAGGCTTATAAACTAGGGGTAAATGTTGGCAGCTGTTAGCGTATAGATGAGGAGCAGAGCGTAGCACTTGTGAAAGACGGAGCCGCTTTGCTGTTTCCTGGTGTCTGTAAAGAAGGTCCAAACGCTGCCGATTGCTCCTTCCTCTATCTGGATAAAGCTGGATAGAAAATGACACAAACAGACAAATAGTTTCCTATTAAATCAGTTTTGCTCTTCCTCTGACTTTTTGAGTTTCTGCCTATTTTTTGGTGCATCTCTTTCACTGTCTGAAAAAAAATCCATAAATGTGTCAGAAATAAAATAAAAATCATTGAGAAAGTAGAATTGTTGTCCTGTTGGACTCATTCCGTCGGTTCTGCTCTGTAGGGTTGGTGGCTCCATCCCCGTCATCTTCTCCTACTTCTCAGAGTTCATGCCCCGGCTGAGGAGAGGCGCAATGATCAGCGCTCTCGCCACCTTCTGGATGGCAGGAAACATCCTGGCTGCAGGTGGGACTGACAAACAGGTTAGGGTTGAACAAATAAACCAACATTAAAAGGATTCAAAGGATGCTGTTTTGAAGAAGAGAGGTGTAACAGTTGGACCAGTACATTTTCTGGTACCAGTAGAAAAAAAATGTTCAGAATTATAAAAACAATGGTTTGTTACTTTTTTTAGTTGTTTTTCAAACTCTGTGCAGGTCTGGCCTGGTTGGTGATTCCTAGAACTTGGGCCCATTTCGCTCTGGGGTCTTTAGACTTCCAGAGCTGGAGGCTGTTCGTGGTGCTCTGCTCCATTCCCAGCATCTCATCCGCCATCCTCTTCAAGCTCCTCATGCCTGAGAGCCCAAAGTTCCTCATGGAGGTACCTGAAGTGCAGACCAACATTTCACTTTCTCTGAAGCTTCTCTCTGAACTTTTAGGGGTTTTTTTTGTTCCAGGCTGGTCGGGAAAAAGAGGCGATCCATGTTTTCAAGCTGATGTTCCAGCTGAATATGAAGGGAACAGAAAAGCCTTTTCCGGTATGCAGAGTTGACCTTGCATGGTTCATAACTTCACCATATAAACCAAATGTCACTGAGGTGAAACTTGATTTTTTTTTTTTAAAGGAATTTGCTTTGCATATAAACTCCAATCAGAGAGGGGAAATCATAGAGAACGGGTCTGTGGATACAAAGAGTATGTTCCTCATACGCTTTTTAAAACAGGTAAGATTCTGGAAAAGGTTTCATTCCAGCTTCCTGTTTTTTAATAAGAAGGAAATGTGGAGAGTAGAAATAAAATCTGTTTTATTCAGAAATCCTTTCGATTAAAAGCAGCAGCTTCTAATTGTCCGATCTGGAAACATTTATTTCCAGATCGAACATAATTCATCAGTTGATTTAAAAAAAATAAAAAATAAACTCATAAAAAAGCATAATGCTGCCACCACCATGTTTTATTTGTTATTTCACATTTAACTTCCAATAACATAAATCAAACTGCTGTTCATACTTTGTTCTCCTTATCCTCAATTGTTGTTAATTCATTTGTTCCCGTACTGCTCCTCAGGGACCCCTGCTGTGCATGTTTTGGGTGTCTCCTTGTTGCATCACACCAGAAATGAACGGATGATTAACAGGCTTCTGCAGCCCTGCTTTGAATCAGGCGTGATGGAACAGAGACGTATCTGTAAGAAGCAGAGCAGGGCCCCCTGAGGATCAGGGTTGGGAACCTCCGTGTTAATTACTTTATATTATTAATCTTTCAGGGCTTGCTTCCCATCAAGCATATATTCAGTGGTTCTATCAAAACCAGAAGCATCGTCCTGCTCATCATCTTCTACTGCATCTCCTTTGGGTGAGAAGCGTCGTCGCTTTGCCTCCTTTCCACACTGGCTTCCTTCAAGGGTTGTGAGCATAAACAGGTCTGCTGATGGCTGCTCCGCAGACCCACAGATAACGCCTGGAAGGTCTTTTATCTTCTGCAGCCAGGACTGCTTCCTAACGGCTAACTCTTCTCCAGACTCACCACTGACACCTGTTGTTCTGTGTAGGTACTACGGACTGTGGATGTGGTTCCCTGAGCTGTTTGCTCGGATCGAGAGCAGCGGTGGTTCTCCTTGTGCCAACGTGTCCCTCCCGTCTCCACTCAACAACCAGAGCTGTTACCCAGTCAAGACAGCAGGTGGGAGCCCTCTTTATCAAGGTTTTCAAAACTCAGCTCTTTAAGTAGGTAACTTAATGTTTTTCTAAAATGTTTATTGAATTGGGAATAAATAATTGGTTTCTTTATATTATTTGAAGTAGCAGAAAATGACCTAGTTTCTGACTTTCTTTCATAAGTTTTCAATTTTAGCAGCATTAGATTCATTTCTGGAAAGCAGCAGAGGAAGGGGAACATTTAACGTTTGTCAAGAAAAAGATGCAAATCCTCCTAAAGCTGTTCTGTAAGAGCAGAACAGTTTGGTTGTTAGAGCCTGGCAGGGAAAATAAACTTCTCCATGCTTACAGAACACGCATCGAAGCAGTACGAGAAAATCATTTCAGGACTGTCTAGCTGCTGCAGGGTAGCGATGTGCAGGAAATTTATTCCCTAAAATTATTTGGCATATGGCTCGCTTTACAAAAAAAGTCAGTTTTTCTGTCCCTGGGGTTTAAGAATTCCTTCCTCTGATTTTATTTTTTATTCTTAACATGGTTATTATATGTACTATCAAACCATTTGGAAGCATCAACTTTGTAGTATTTGTTTTTTAATTAATAATTGATCTAAATAAACTGAACTAAATTGAAACTTTTTTTTGGCTTCATGTGTTTAAACTTTTATGACATAAAAAGTTTATTCTTTGTTTGTGTTACTGGGCGATCCTTTGATCTCATATTCGTCAAATATGTCATATTTCACCTGGTAATAATTTTGCTTAACATTTCAAGGAGGGTTTGTATAGGAGTTGGCCTTATAAGTTTTCAAATATTTTCATTGTATCAAATAAATATTTCTTGTAAATAAATCAAAATCATTATTTCTATAGTTTAATTAACCTTAATAATTCGTTTTCCCAGATCTTGTCGCTTTATTACATTTTTCATACTTAATAAAGATCTTTGGCAAAAAGAATCGATAATAAAAAATGAATTAAACTTTTATTAATGTGTTTTTATCAAATTAATGACTTGTGTAACAATGAAGTCCAAGTTTGAATGTTAAAAAACTGTTGTGTGTTTGTTTTTTTTTTTTTATACATGAGTAAAGTTTTTTTGGTTTCTGGTGGATGGATGCTTCTCCTCACTGTTTCCTCTCTCCACCTGATAGTGTACATGGAGGGCTTCACCATCGCTGCCTCCAACCTGCCAGGAAACATCTTCACCATCCTCATCATGGACAGCATAGGCGGGAAGACTCTGCTCTGTAAGTCTGTTTTTCACTACCTCTCTTTGCTCAGAACTCCAGCAAACGGTAACTTCTCCGTCCAGCCTGCAGCCTGCTTGTGTCCAGCCTGAGCGTATTCCTCATCTACGTGGTTCAGACCAAAGCCCAGAGTCTGGCTCTGTCCTGCATCTTCAGCGGCGTGTCTGTCATTGCCTGGAACGCCTTGGACGTGGTGGGAACTGAGCTCTACCCGACCCAGCTCCGGTAACATCTTCAAAACCTTAAATTCAACCTATTACTGATTGTGGATTGATGCCTAAAAGGTGTTTAACTTCCTGTCCTCCCAGGTCCTCTGCTCTGGGCTTCTTCACCGGGGTTGGCCGAGTGGCAGCCATCATGGGTAACGTGGTCTTTGGAAAGCTGGTGGACTCCAACTGCACCGTGCCCATCCTGCTGGTGTCAGCTCTGCTGCTGACGGGAGGAGTGGTGGCTCTTCTGCTCCCACAGACTAGGCAGACGGAGCTCACCTGATGGTCCTGCAAAGCTCCAGACTATGAATAAATCCAAACTTTCAAGAGCTGTCAGCCAAATCTCTTTGCCAAAAGGCAGAAGAAACATTTGTAAACTTCCCAGAGGCAAATGTTTGTGTAATGGATGCGTTGTGGTTTCCTGCGGAAAAGAGATGCACCCATCAAAACTCTGTGGGGTTTTTGAGCTCTTGCCAACTCATACAGATTTTAGCTGAATGCGTTTTTTCCCCTTAATTATTTTAATTTGACCAAATTTACAAAAACAAATTTAGAATGTTTTTTCCTAGCCTTCCTGTCCTGAGCAGTCTTTAATGATCTACTCTAAAGCAGAGGGACTGTCAGTCTGCCTGGGAATCCAAAAAGAACGTGATAAAACTGAGAAGCTTCGCTTTTGTCCATTCAACCTTCCTGTTATCTGCTAAAAGTTTTGCTCTCCTCCTCCAGCCGTCCAAAAATCGCATAGTAAATAGTTTCCTTTTAAACGGCGTCTGTAAACCACCAATATCTGACTGATGGTCTTCTTCACTCCAGAACAACTTCCCCACCTGAGAGCTTTTAGAGCAGCATGTCAGCCTCTAGGTACGCTGCATTCACTTTTCATTCAGAAAATTAGATTTTTCGCTTTCTCTACAGGCTAGTCACCTGTTGGGGCTAATCAAGCTGAAAGTCACCACCTGATTTGTTTGTGCATTTCTACCCAACAGATGAAGGAGTTGGGTATTAAAACTTGACCAAAGCCTTACTGTTATAATCAAATAGCAGATTTAGAAAAATCTGCTTCAGGGATTGAATTTCTGAACATTTGTGAACCAAACGTTTTTGTTTTATGTTTGATAAATTTATAAGTCCTTTGTGTTTGACTTAAGTTGTTTCAGATGACCATATTCCACAAGGTGTAAAATTATGCAGCCAGGATGTTATTTAAATGGAGAGCCTGCTAGTTTACACACATCTTTTTAATTAATGTTGAATGAAGGAGCCTTTTAAATGATTTAGGACTGCAACTAACAGTCATTTTGCAAATTGATTAACCTGTCGATTATTTTTTGATTAATAATCAGAGAGCAAAAGGTTCCTTATAGAAATTTTCGTACTAAATTACACCAGTTTAAACTAAAACTTTCCAATGGAGGAGTTGTGGTTAGAGCACATCGACAGATTAAAACCTTTTTTCTATCATAAATGCAAAATGTTTATATATTTTTACAATCTTTGTGTAATTCCCGCTCTAAGTGGGTCGCTCTGTCAGCTAAAGGCGTGTTTTAGAGTCTCTGTACTCCATTTAATGATAAATAGATTACTAAAATAGTTGACGATTATTTCAATAATCGATTAATCAAGATGAAACTGATTGTTTCAGCCCTAAATTATTATTTAAAGTGCTCTTATTTGTAGAAAATAAATATGCAAATATAGTTTTCTTTATAAAGTAGAATTGAATTCACCAAGTGTCATTTACTAAATTTACTGAACCACAGAGAATCAGTTCAGCCGATATGAGATTTGATCGCTCGCAGTGTTGTGGATTTGGTACAGTTAAGGAACAATTTTCAGATTGCTTTAATTCAAAACATTCAACTACTCAGTGATTATTTGACTGTAGATCAAAGTGTTACCTTAAAAAGAGTCATGGGTGGCAATCCTTAGTGTGAAAAGAGCTTTCAGCCAGCTGAGCAGCAGTGCACGCCAGCTGTTCTACCTCTTATTGGCTGCAACACCTTCACTACAGCCTTAAGACTTTTCAACTGTTCTATTTTAAAGATTTTGTCAGTTTCAGTGGAAAATCACCAGTGACCAAATGCAGGTTGTGTTCCTAATTGTATTTATGTCTTTTTATATTTTTTTTTATTGTTTTTAAACTTGATCCTAAGTGGGTACAAATCTTACACTTGCTAGATATTTCAGTTTTAAATGAACCCCTTTTACAAAAACTGATTTATCTGCTTTCCTAGTTTATCTTTAGCTCCAGGAAGTTAAGCTCAAGCAGTTTGATCCAATCAAAGTATATCGAATGTGTTTATCATAATTTAATTTGTTGTTATTGTTTTTCCATTGAGGTGTAAATAATTTAAGACATGATTAAAATATTTATTTTAATTGATAAAGTCTTTGTTGAGCTTCTGAAACCAGTTTGGCTAAAATAAGCCAGGACAAAAAGTGTGATGAAACAACAGATATACATCTACCAACAAACAAGTCTTTGTTACAAATGAAAAATAAAGTTTTTTTGTCTGAACTTTTTGTTTCTTTGTATTAACCATTTGAATGAGTGAATGTAGCCAGACTGGTGTAGAGAAAGGCTTTGTGTTGCCAAGAAGAAACCAGGAGAGTTTAAAGAATTTTGTGAAACTCTCAGGCTCTTCTCCTGTGGAACCAACTAGCAATTTTAGTCCGTGAGGCAGACACCCTGTCTACTTTTAAGGCTAGGCTTAAAACTTTCCTTTTTGATAAAGCTTATAGTTAGAGTGGCTCAGGTTATCCTGAGCTATCTCTATAGTTATGCTGCTATAGGCTTAGACTGCTGGAGGACATATGGACCCCCGTTTCATCATTCTGCTTCATTCTATCTCTATTCTCCCACTCTGCAGAATCTCGTCTGTTCCTGTCTTGCTGTGACTTCATGGTGTAGAGAAATATCAGCTGTGCTGCTGCCATCAACACCTTTGTTTATAGATGCTGGAGATCTGCCTGTTTTCCAGTGTGGTCCTGTTTCTCTGACTGTGACTGAGTGGATGTGCTCTCTTCATCCTCTGACATGGGAGCTGGCTCGGAGCTCGTCTGCCTGGCTGTGTGTTTCCTGGACGGGCCCGCCTTTTACAGCTGCTTTTTGTATCTCTGCTTCTTGTATCTCTGCTTCTGTCTCTTTAAACCCCAGTCAGCCTCGGTAGATGGCCACTAGAACTTAGCCTGGTTCTGCTGGAAGTTTCTTCCTGTTCAAAGGGAGTTTTTCCTCTCCACTGTCACTACAAGCATGCTTAGTGTGAGGGATTGCCTTCGAGTCAATGCAATCAACTGGTTTTCCTTAGAGAGAAAACTTAGAATCAAATTGACTGCCTAGAGATGGTGTGTTGTGATGTGGTGTTATATAAATAAACTGAATTTAATTAATGCAAATAAAGGCTACTGTACAAAATATTATCATTGATGCTCACAGGTGTTCAAATACTTATTTGCAGCAGTTATATACAGATACATCTTTTTTAAATCCTTAATTCTTTGAGATTTCTGTATGTTTTATTATTTTGGATTAATTCTCTCTTAGTTGATGAACATGTCAATCACTTCATGGCTGGTAAGTGGCAGAACTGGCAAAATCGCAGGGTGTTCAAATACTTACTTCCTCAATGTAGTGCTTGGCAACTCTGACGGCTGCTTTTTGATTATTTAAGAGTATGTATGCTTTATTTTTTTAGATTTAGAAAAGGTTTTTTGTCTGTCTGATTAAGAATCGGCAGCAGGCATTAACATATCAGAGTGATGTAGATCTCTGGCACTTTTAAAATTAAAAAACGAAACAGGATGTCTTTTTCCAACTCATTTACCTTAGCTGTCACTTTGTGGCTTTATTTTATATTTTACAATAATTTACAAGAGAGAACACAAGCTTTAATCTGCACTTTTATTTTTACAATAAATAAACTTGCATTACCTCAAGATTACAATGCACAACCACACACAGGGTTTGATAAACCGTACTTCGCATATGTAAAAGCCACTGGAGATGAAAGGATGGACCATGTGTGAATTTGCAATGGAAGGTGCTTTCAGCTTTTTCTGTGGGGAAAACAAAAAGTTTCATTTGGAGTTTTTACTTTAACAAAATCTTCAATCTCCTGTTCCACTCTTAGTGTGCTGCAATAACTGGAAGCCATTGGAAAATGAACCAACATTTAAGGAGAATAAAACCAAAACAAACCAAAACAATTATGTAGTGTGAAACATACTGGTTCTCCTGACCTTGTTTCCAAGAGCAATTATGATTTAGGTATTAAAATCTTTCTTGTAATGATTTAAAATAGACAATTTCTAAGATTAATGGCATTAATAGAGCAATAACATGCTCTATTAAAATAACATGAGCATTAATAGACCATGGTATTTAAAACAAATATAATAAAAACAATTTATTTTTACCACTTAGTTCAAGCTAAGTGACCTGATAGCATGATAGCACAATCTACAGATAAAAGTACAAAAAGGCTATACAGAGGATTTACCTAAAACTAACAGGTGTTCACTGTGAAATGAATGAGTAGAGAAGAATACACTGGCTTTATCTTTTCATTTTGTTTAAAAAAATATTTAATTTAGTTCATTAATTTAAAGAATTACAAGTGTTTTTAGTGTTTTTTCAGCTAATGTATTGTTTTTCTGAAACAATTGGCCATTGTGTTTTTCAAACACGGACATTTTATCTTTATGCAAAACAAAAGGAAAAATAATTCTCAGTTAAAAGAGCTACTTTATTGGGAAATATATTCTGAATGAGTAACTGGATTTATTTTCCTAATATGAACAAAATGCTATTATTGAGCAGAAACCAAATCAGGAAATGTTTACATCTGCTGTTAGCTTTCCTGTTAAACTGAGTAATATATTTGATTTTTAATACAGATTTTTTATTACATGCTGTCTTTTATTCTAAAATACTGGAAAGGTTTAGGTTATTATTGATATTTTTCCAACAGGGCCTTTCCTGCCCAAAACTTATGTAATAAAATTATGCTCATTGAGAAGATTGTTTTTTGAAATTTACAAAATATCCGTTGCAGTTTTAATTCTTTAAAAATCCTTGATGATCATATCATAGTATAGATCCGGTATTGTTTTGCTTTCTTTAAACAACACATACAAGCTTTGGTGCAGAGTTGTGGTGACTCTCCAGTGCACCAGCCTCACTACTGCAGCTGTTTCTTGTTCCTCTATGGTTACACCTTCTCTAGGGTTTCTATGCAAACCAATAGTATCAGGATAATAGCTACCCCAATCAATATTTATGTCCTGAGTCCAAAAGACACAATAGTCAAAGACACATACTAAAAAGCCATTTAACTCTTCCTCTCAGACATTTATATCTCTGCCTTACAACTGAGGTCTGATGGAAACAAAGTCAGGACAAAGCAAATGAACCAATGTTTTCAGACCAGAAAGTAAATCGGGTCCCTACTTTCACACTTAATGCTCAATTCCAATTTTTTTTTTCCTCTAAAAATCTTTCCCAAACTCAGTTAATGTATTAAACAACACCATCTTTTAAAGACGGTTGAAAATAAAGACTGTTCTCCGCATAGTCATCTGCCATGGTTGTTGCTTTCCTTCCTGCTTTGTTGAGTACAAATGGAATACACGTCGGATGAATGCGTCCTGGCCGTTCACACACAGGTCGCATTTGAAAAGATCAGATCCAGGACCACATAGCCAAGTGGCCTGGGTCGCATTGGAAAAAAACAGATCTGTGTTGTTCAGACACTAATGAAAAGATTAGATACAAGTGGCATATGGGTATTAAAAAAATCAGATTTGGGTCACTATAGGCTGCCGTGTGAACAGAGCCTTGGCTATTTGGTCCTTAATCCGATATGAATGAGTGAATACATTTCACACAGGACTTCATATACAAGTCACATATATTTGGAAACAGGAAATGACCACAGAAAACAATCAGATTTAACAAAAAAAATCTGAATTGAGCATTAAGGTCTGCAGTGTGAAGGTAGCCTAAATCATTTATGTAAGATGGATGGATATCTCACATGAATGATATGACAAAATTGAAAATCTAGTTAGCCTTTTTCTAACCTAACCAAAAGTTTGATTTCCATTTGGAGAGTGAGAACAAACAGTAGAAAATATCTGAATATTAATATCCGCTCTGCTACAATGTTTATCCTGGAAACCAGTATAAGAAAAAGCCCATGAAATCATTTTTATACCTTGGATCATCTTAATTATAGATACTTCAGATTTAGGCTAATTACAGGTAAAATAATAATGCTACAGTTGGATTATTCTTCTATATAGATGTTTTCTCTGAGAAGAGGTTTTAGAGGCAGCATACAGAAACATCTAAAATACTAAGAGCCCATTAGCTTTTCACAATCTGGAAGCTTCCTCTCCAACTTTGCTTGCTGGAGAACACAGATGATGGAGCAGTGGCCAAGTCCTTAAAATCTATGAGGTGGCTGAGGTGAGGGAGTACAAGTCACGCTGGGTCTTTGCCTGTCGTCACTGAGTTAGAGCCAGGAGGATGTCTTTAACCAGCATCGTACCGATCAACATCTTCTCACAGTTGACAGTCAGCTGAGCAGCGCCCTCTTCTCTAGTCGCAACAGTGACCAGCACCAGACTGCCACTGGTCACCGTTCTGCCAGCAAACCTGTAGACAGGATGTTCAGGAGGAGGAACAGGAGGACTGAGGTCAAAGCAGCAAAGATCAGAAATAAGGTTGAATACACAGAATAAGAGTGAAACAGATACCAGTTAGCAGGATCAAAAGTAAAGAAATGTTTTAATTACCTTTACAACTCATTTTGTACCCGAATCAGATAAGAATTATTCCAAATCTTTATTCCAAAACATAGAAAAAACCCCAAAAAACCTTCATCTCTTCACAGTAAAAGCATTGCTGAATTTCAATCAGGCCTTTTTCTCTAAATGGTTTATTTTTTTTAGTTACATTTCATGTTATATATATATATATATATATATATATTTATCCCAGGCTGCACTCTGGGTCCCTAAGCAAGACCCTTAACCTCCAATTGCTCAGCCGCACAGTGGCAGCCCACTGCTCCCTAAGGGGATGGGTTAAATGCAGAGGTGAATTTCTCCAGTATGAGATTAATTAAGTGACATTTTTAAATTTTTGTCTCTTCTGGTAAGTTGAACGCTGCACTGTAGCTAATACTATTTATGGACTCATTCTATGGATATTTTAAAGAAATCAGATCGCTTCTCAGCAACAAAAACAATAAAAATTAGAAAATAAGGATAATTGGAGGAAATGCATAGAGTGAGCCCCAAAGGATCCAACTACAGAGACAAAACATGGAAAAGTTCATTGACAGTGAATTGGCTATATTTGTCCATACCCCATAAAAAAGATTAAAAGTGTAGCCAGCAGCAGACGGTGTTCAGTTGATGTGAACTTAGCAGCAACTATTTTATACATTTGTGATTTTAGAGATTGCTTTATTAGCACTACTGTGGCTCATATTAGTGAAGGTCAAACTAATGCATAATCATGAAGTGACATCTATTGGCATTGACATCTAATTGCATTTGCATTATAATCATAATTTAACAGAATGCAATTTACAAATCGCAGAGGCACAGATTGAATTAATCACACCATACTTAAAGGAAAAGTCAGGTGATATTCAGAACACAAACTTTTGAAAGTACTTTACATATGAAATTATTATATAATATTCAATATATGATAAGTGTTTTTTAATTAGAAGTAATTTTCATTTGAATGTGCTTTACTGGAGACATCCATGTTTGTCAAAGAACACTACTTTTTTACTGATTAACTGTAAAGTTAGTTTACAAATTTTTACGTACAAAAAATTATCCAGTGATTATTCCTTGCTGATGGTTCAGCCCTTCCACAGACTCCTCTTCAAAAACATTCTCTAATATTCAAATCTCCAATCCTGAGGTTGCAGTGTCTGCTTTGGGTCTAGCACAGTGGAAACTCTCCTACCTGCACTCTTTATCCGACCCACAGGGGACTCGGCTGAGGTTGGCGGCCGTGGTCACTCTCTGGACAATGGTGTGCTCGTTCCGACACTTGGCATCCAACGTTAGCTTCTCTGTAATCTCATTCATTCCCATCAGCTGACCTGACAGAGCGCAGGCAGAGCAGGGATCAGTAAAAAAAACCAACAATCTAGAAAGCTGATCTTTTAGGCTTGTGTAAATCATATGAGACATAGATGTATTACAAGAGTGTCACAGACATCTACCAACTTTGGAGATTCAGTTCTACATACTGCCCACTGTATACAGACCAACAAAGGGGTAAAATATTGCTACACTAAATTTGACCCCACAGTGTTTGGGATTTAAAGCATCTGCGATGCTGTGATTCTTCCACTGAGGATGGATGGAAGCACCAATAACCGCCGACTCAAAACTGTCTTTGTCTACGTAAAAACGTCTTAAACACAGTTGATAAAAATAAAGAGCCATTAGGAACCAGAGAGAAGTAGCGCCCAATCTATCAGTTTGACTTTAAATATAAAGAACAGAAAAAAACAACAAAAAGATGACGCTACAATACGTCTCATCATCAGAGGCGTCAAGTAACGAAGTACAAATACTTCGTTACTGTACTTAAGTACACTTTTTAGGTATCTATACTTTACTCCATTACTTATTTTTCTTCCTTAATTAATTCTACTCATTACATTCTCATACAATTATCTGTACTTTCTATTCCTTACAGTTTTAAAACGCACATTACTCGTTACTCTTGGCTTTGGTTTAATGCAGAGGTCAGGGATTAGCTGACCTTGGTTCGGTGTTATGCCGAAAAGTGCATGCCTGCCCAGATATGCATCCCCAGTTGCGGGAGCACGCCTTGATCTGTACAACTGCAGATTAAAACATTTCCAATAGTACTACTTGTTGTTATATAAATGATATAAAATGTTTAAATATTCCACTCATGGAAAAAAATTGTGGTTATTTGGCAGATTCATTTACAATAGTACGGGTGTTATGAGCAACATTAAATGCAATTTTGTCCGAGGTACGGCTGATTTATTTGTTGTAGTCTCTTGTTATTTACACACAACAATAAACAGTGATGCCGACACGAGTTTTGAAACAGCAAAAGCTTTGTCTTCAGCTGAAAATCAAACGCGCATCTACACAGACCAGCGTTCACAGACCAGTGTGATGTCAAAAGTCAAAAGAGCGTCAGATAGCTATGGTGCATTCAGGAGCATGGGACATATCTCACTTACAAGGAAAGAGACATAAACCGAACAGAACTTAACTCATACAATAATGTATTTATTCAGAAACAGTGTGGGCTTTCTTATAATACTGAATGCTCTATAATTGTATTTCTGTTATTTTTTTGATTATGCACATCTTCTAGCTTTTTATTCTAAAAAATCTATATTATTACAGCAGCAAATTGTCAAAGGTTTTCAAAATTCTTTTTAAAAGCTCCAAATATGGCTTCAGATCATTCAGCGACAATTGCTCTGTCATTGTTTTACAGGCAGAATTTGCATTTGATGACCCTTGCCCTTTAACTACTGATGTATATACAGGAATACAGTGTCAACTCCTCTGAGATAGCATGGGATGCAATTTTTGGCAAGGACCTAACGAAAAATGCATCCGGCTTGTTTTTAAGTTAGAAATTGTCGCACACACATGAAACTCACACTGGTAGCACAGAACACATGTGTAAGCATGTAGAAAATGTTACATTAGTTACAAGTGTATATTTCTATGAAACAGCTTGGATGCAAATTTTAACACCTCATTTTATTTCAGTGTTAAATTCTGTTTAAAGTAACAGATCACTAAAAACCTCTCTAGACCTTTAGTGGTTGCTGATTTTCTTTATCTGTACCCCACTGATTTTTAATTGGTTACCCTTAGATTAATGTTTATAAATGTTTATTTCCCGTCATGTGCTCCATCCAATGCAGATCATTGGCACCATCCACATCTAGTGAAAACTAGTGTCATTGGATGAGTCATATAACGCAAACACTCATTGGTTAGCTAAAGGAAATCATCAGAGGTAAGCAGGTGTTCTTCAAACTGCAAACGTGAATTGTCTATGCCATGCTACAATGTAGGATTCAGAAAAAGATGTTGAAATTGTTAAGAATCCAGTTTGTGTGGGTTGTGTGTTTGTGTTTTCTTCCTCCACCACTAGGTGGCGCCCGGTTCTTGGCCCTTCCACACACCTGCAGATGGTTGGCTCATTATCTGAGGACTCTTAAGCTGCTGACTTCCACTACCTCGACGCCAGAGTGTTTGCCAGTTGTGGGTACTCTAGCAAAGCTGGGTTTTGCTGAGTCAAACTGAGTTTTTTTTCTCCCTGAGCCCTAATCTTGTTGTTTTTGTCTTTGCCTCTCGGCAGGAAGTCATCCTGCAAACTGGATGTTTTGGCCTTTTCCCCCTGGAAGGATCGTTTGAGCTTCACACTGAGCAGGGGATGCAAACTGGATATTTGCACCTTCTCCTCCTGAAAGGATTGTTTGAGCTTCACACTGAGCAGGGGATTAATCTCCACATGTACTGTTCAAGTACTTTTAGGAAATTTAAGTGGCAGTCAGCTCCATCGCTCCTCAAGGAACTAACCAAACCTGAGTAAACCCTGTCCGCCCTCCAACGAATCAACCAAATTCTGGAATAACCCACACCTACTGGATTCTGGGAAGGACACCTTTTTCTGGAAACGTGACTCCAGTTTCAGTTTTTGTTTTTGCAAGTCGTCGCTCAATTTTCCCACTGAGCCTGAACTAAACTCTGAACTTCCCTTCTCACTTCCAGTATCGGTTCACCAGCGTTTTTAGTAACACTGGATCCAACTCATCGTGCTTTCAATAAACCTGTTAAACCTTCTCTCTGGTTCTCTGAGTGGTTTCCTGCATGTGGGTCAGATCCCTTAAAATAACATGACAGAAATGTCTCAAAGGTCGGACACAGGCGAGGGCGNGGAGACGGAGACCAACAAGACCTCCCTCATCCTTGGTCCTATCTCAGAGAATTTTTAGAAATAGTTGAAAAATTTAGCTTTCATTTCATATAGTGGCATCTGGCTGTTTTTTTTTTAAAGGTTACTTTATACTTTTAGTAGTTTTTGGAGCACATACTTTTTCACTTTTACTTGAGTAAAGAGGTCAAGTTGATATTCAACTTTTACCAGAGTGTTTTAAAGTGCAGTGTCTATACTTCTACTTAAGTAAAAAATGTGTGTACTTTTCACACCACTGCTCATCATGATCCGTGGTTGCTTATGGTTACAAAGTGCATTCACAAAGTGAATGTGAGCCGGACCATGTTGTCCCTTCACACTGTGCTCAAACATGATCAGTGGACCAACATTTCCAGTCATTCCTGCGATCAGCAGCTCCACATGTGGGAGAGGAGCATCTAAGGGAGGAGGTTGGTGGGATAGTGGTGGTGGGGGGTGGGGTTGCTAGAAAGCAGGTGGTCACACAGAGGGCTGGGGACAGCAAACCTATCCAGTCTACTTACCTGTAGTCTGTACAGGCTTCTCTATCAGGGATCGTATCGGGGGGTACAATGAATGGTACATGTTTACTGGACTTTTCTCAGGCTGGAAAAGGTTTCATGCAACTTTAAACCTATAGAGCAGTTTGTTTTTTTAACCATTAGATAAATAGTGGAGGATTCTTCATAGACTCAGCAGGGATGATATACTAACCTCCGATTGTGCTTTAAACCATTGCTCACCTTGCTCTTTTTTAAACTCGTTCTCTGTGAGGAAGACTGGCCTCATCAGCTCCCCGACGGGCGGCTGGATGGATACAAAGAACTTCCTGGTGTGTGTGCTGCAAAACAACAGCAGGGCTGTTAAACTCAACAAAGAACAAACAGACCGTGTCGTAGAGAGTTCACGAAAATACAACATGCTGCTGGAGGTTTCTTTCTGTTAAAAGGGAGTTTTTCCTCTCCACTGACACTACAAGCATGCTTAGTGTGAGGGATTGCTGAAGAGTCAAGATAGAAAACGTTGAATCAATCTGACTGGATGATCTGGTGAACTGTAAAGGGTCTTGAGATGACATGCGTTGTGAATTGCCGCTATAGAAATAAACTGAATCGAGTTGAATTCAGCTATGTTCTGGCTGTGTTTTAATAGTGTCTCTGAGAGCTAAAGAACGAGCAGAGATGGCGACTCACCACAGCTGGAAGTTTGCTGCTTGTGTTGAGTCACAGAAGTCAATGCCCATCACTGCTGTGGCAGTCTCACCGGCTGGTAGCAACTCTGTCAGCACACAAAGTATATTCATGAATAAGGAGGATGAACCTCTAAGCAATGCACCATGTTTTCTTATGCTCTTTCAGCACCTACCTATCTCTTGGAACTCCTTCACCCTCATCCCAGACTGCAGCTTCACATCCTCCATATGCAGGCTCTTGGTGTCGGAGGCGGAGTTGTTTGTGAAGTGCATCTGGACCGCCACCATGTTTGCGTCGGGGCTGAACGGCTGCCGGCTGAAGCAGTACTCCACTGACAGTCCCTCACCCGTGATGCGGTGCAGCAGCTCATAGCTCTTCAGCGCGCTGGAGGGAGCGATGGTCTGTGAAGAGATAATATAGGTCTTTTGTGACGTTTTTTTTTCTTCTTCTTCAAATATAGAATAGAGGACAAAAATGTTTATTCTTACTGCTGGTGACAGGACGGCATCAGAGAGAGAAAGCCCCTCCAGGTCGGTCACAAGGCTGTTGGACAGCAAGTTGTTTACCGGCGTGACTTGAGGTGAGGGAGTTGGTTCAACTGACAACACAAGATGCAAGTCAACAGTCAGAGGAGGTAATCTGATACTAAACCATGAGCTTACCATGGAAATTGGTTGTTAAAAAGAAAAATACATGTAAAACTGTGTAAATCAATGAAACACATAAACTCACAATCGTCAAGGTCAAGAAGAGACATTTCTTTCTTCTCTTTCTTGGTCTCCTTCTTGATCGGTTTGGAAGGAGGTTTAGACTCAGCTGCCTGTAAGAAATTTAGGTAAAGATCCATGAATATCAGCCACTGTTCAGGCATCTGAATCGCCTATTTCGGAGGTCAGCTAAACAAGCAACACTTCGTGGGATATAATAACATCATTTTTTACATTTTATTCTGCTGCAGCTAGACTGGACTGGAGTTGATTGGCATTATTTGTGATATACCAATGATTACATTGGTCCTATTGTATGGCTTGTTTGCATTCATTTTGTTGTTAACGTTCATGGTAACTTGACTAATTTGATTAGTTTAAACCTATCACACCAGATACCAACACATCTTTCCTGCTGTGTGTGAGACATTTCACCCCTTTTTTAAAACTCTATTTTTCTTACCTATTACTCTGAAAAAAATTGCACAGAAAATGCTGAGAAATCTCTGAGCTCACTTCACCGCATCTCCAAATAGGAGGAGCTATCTGCTGTCTGTTCAGTTCTCCATTTTACCGAGTGTGTCATTGTGATGGTGATTGTGTAACCATATAAAAAAAAAAAAGTAAATCCATTTATAGTCCCTTAATGGGGAAATTTGCTCTCTGGTTTTGACCCATCTCCTTGGGGGCAGTGGGCTGCCATTGTGTGGCCATTGTGAGGGTTTTGCTCAGGAACCCAGAGTGCAGGCTGTAGGGATCGAACCAGGTACTTGCAACCTTATCAGAGCACAAGTGTACTGCTCTAACCACTAGGCCAACACTACCGCATTGGTGGAAAGCTAAACAGTGTCAGTATTAGGACCTGCTGTCCCACATCGGGGGAAGAAAAAAAATAGTTTTCTACAAAGTTAGTCCCTGGTTGTTTAATGCGACACAAACGGACAAAAGGTTCTAACTGTTGAACTGAAGCAAAATGTGGCTCTATTTGTGTGTCCACCAGGACAATTCAGAGCTTCCCTTTGCTATGTTCCAGGGGTCCCAGTGCAGTTGGGAGCAATGGAGGTAGGGGTCTCTATATGGTTTCACCATCACTGTGATGCTGCCCTGAGGTACATGGATGGCCATCTCATGAGCGGTAAAAGTAAAGAGCTTTCTCAAGACATTTGCAACCTTATTGTTGGAAATAATGATGGCATTGGTTACAGAAGAACTTCTAAGCTTCTCAATGTTCCAGTTAGCACAGTTGGGGCCGTAATCCAGAAGTGGAAAGATAATCATTTCATCATAAACCGATCAGGTGCTCCTTGCAAGATTTCAAACCAGAGATGGCAAAAGTACTCACTTTTCGTACTTGAGTAAAAGTACAGATACTTGTGTTAAAAAATACTCTGGTAAAAGTGGAAGTACTGATTAAACTTCTTTACTCAAGTAAAAGTAACAA